GTCCACGCCTTCGGCCCGGGTCTCCACGGCGGCGTGGCGGGCAGCCCGGCCACGTTCACGATCTCCACGCGCGGCGCGGGCGCGGGGGCGCTGGGTCTGACGGTGGAAGGGCCTCGCGAGGCGGAGCTGGAATGTCACGACAACGGCGACGGCTCGTGCTCGGTGCGCTACGTGCCCCCGGAGCCCGGCGATTACTCCATCAACATCCTGTTCGCCGGCTCCCACGTGCCGGGCTCCCCGTTCCGCGCCGCCGTCCGGCCCCGCTTCGACGCCACCAAAGTCCGCGCCGACGGCCCGGGGCTGCGCGGCGGCCGCGTGGGGCAGAGCGCGGCGTTCGCCGTGGACTGCAGGGACGCCGGGGAGGCGGAGCTCAACATCGAGATCCGCCACGAGCTGGGAGCCCGGCCGGAGGTGCGCATCCACGACAACGGCGACGGCACGTACGGCATCTCCTACACGCCGGCCCGGGCCGGGGCGTACACCGTCACCGTCAGCTACGGCGGGGTGCCCGTCCCGCACTTCCCGGCCTGCGTCACCGTCGAGCCCGAGCTCGACCTCAGCGCCATCGCCGTGTACGGCAGCGGCGTGGAGCCCCGCGGTACGTGGGGACCCATAGGGATACGTGGGGACCCATAGGGACACCATAGGGACACCATGGGGACGCCATAGGGATACATGGAGACCCAGAGGGACACCATAGGGACGCCATAGGGATACATGGAGACCCATAGGGACACCATAGGGACGCCATAGGGATACATGGAGACCCAGAGGGACACCATGGGGACGCCATAGGGATACATGGAGACCTATAGGGACACCATAGGGACGCCATAGGGATACATGGAGACCCAGAGGGACGCCATAGGGACAGCATAGGGATACATGGAGACCCAGAGGTACTCATAGGGACACCCTGGGGACACCACAGGGACACCATAGGGATAGATGGAGACCCATAGGGACACCATAGGGATGCCATAGGGATACATGGAGACCCACAGGGACACCATAGGACACCACAGCATTGCAGTGTACGGCAGCGGCATGGAGCCCTGCAGTACGTGGGGAACCATCGGGATACGTGGGGACCGTGGGGATACGTGGGGAACCATAGGGATACATGGGGATACATGGAGACCCATAGGGACACCATAGGGAACCATAGGGACACCATGGAGAACCATGGGGACACCACAGCATTGCAGTGTACAGCAGCGGCGTGGAGCCCCGCGGTACGTGGGGAACCACAGCGGTATGGGGGCACCGGGGGGGTACGGGGGGGAGCCATAGGGATACGTGGGGACCCATAGGGACACCATGGGGACACCATAGGGATACATGGAGACCCACAGGGACACCATAGGGAACCATAGGGATACGTGGGGAACCCATAGGGATACATGGGGGACCATAGGGATACATGGGGAACAGCAGGGATATTTGGGGACCATAGGGATACGTGGGGGACCCTATAGAGACACACAGGGACACCACAGAGGCACCATAGGGATACATGGAGATCTATAGGGACACCACAGGGACACCATGGGGATACGTGGAGACCAATAGGGACACCATAGGGACACCATAGGGGCACCATAGGGACACTATAGGGACGCCTTAGGGACACCATAGGGATACATGGAGACCCATGGGGACACCATAGGGACACCACAGGGATACATGGAGACCCATATGAACACCATAGGGACACCATAGGGATACATAGAGACCCAGAGGGACACCATAGGGACACCACACCACTGCAGTGTACAGCAGCGGTGTGGCGCCACGGGGTACGTGGGGAACCCATAAGGATACATGGAGAACCCATAGGGAAACATGGGGGACCCATACAGATACATGGGGAAACCATAGGGATACGTGGGGAACCATAGGGATACATGGGGACACCACAGAAACCTATAAGAACCCCATAGAGATTCCATAGGGACCCATAGAGACACACAGGGAGCCACAGAACCCCATAGGAACCCTGTTGAGACTCCATAGAGACCCATAGCGACACATAGGGAC